GCGTGTTGAACATGTATGAGGAACCGGAATCGCCAAAAGAGAGGGCGGGTTTTCAAAATATATGGTGAACCGGAATCGCCAAATGAGGGGGCGTGTTTAAAATAGACGAGGAATCGGTGTACAGTGTAGCCGATATCGCCAAATGAGGGGGCGTGTTCAAGACATAGGATGAACCGTTGTCGACCAATATGGGGACATGTTTAAGATATATGATGTGATGAACCATTATCGCCAAAAGAAGGGGCGTGTTTGATATGTGATGAACCGTTATCGCCAAACGAGGGAGCGTGTTCAAGATATATGATGAACCGGAATCACCAAATAAGAGGGCGGCATGTTCAAGCTATATGATGAACTGTTATCGCCAAATGGGAGGGCGCGTGTTTAACATGTATGACGAATCGATATCGCCAAACGAGGAGGCATGTTTTACGATATATGATGAAACGGAATCGCCAATTAAGGGGGCTTGTTTAGGATATATGATGAACCGGAATCCCCGAATGAGGGGGCGTGTGTGTAACATATATGCTGAACCGAATCGTCAAACGAAGGCGGGTGTTCAAGATAACCGAGTAGACTGGCAGGGCCGGCGGTCGGCCCGTCGGATTTACAGACGGAATGACCGATCGATAGAAGAAGACCAGTAGGCCGAATAACAACCAAAAAAAGACCTCGAGTACGGCCTCGGTTGTCGCCATCCCTGTGGCTCTTGCAAGTTTTGTTTATGGATCGAACCGAAAACTTCAGTTCGGGTCTTTTTGCTAAGTATTGCATGGTTGCGCGCATGTCCAAGAGATGCGTGTGGTTTAATCGCTGACTCCAGCAGGAACATTTCACCGAGCGCCGCTATCAGTGGCTGAAGGACATTGGGTGAGACCAGAAAGCTGGAAACCAAGTCAGCATCGACCGTCGCAATTTGTAGGGCTGTAGGCGCAGACTGAACCTTCAAGTTGAGACGACGTGTCAGAGGAAATCCCATTCCCACGGGCGAAGACTGTCCTCATCAGGACAGGTGATGCTTCCTCTGCAGTGGGGTCCAGGTGGCAGTCACGATTGAAGAAGCAGTGCATAGCCCACGTGCTGCTTGTCCGTGCTGCATCTCAGGCAGGAGTGTCTCAAGTGTAAATATTACAGGGCACCACGAGCACAGGCAGAATCATGCCGAACCTTCTTATCAAGTAAGCAGCACTTCATTGTTCCTGTTTTCGCTGTCGCCAGTTTGGCACACGATTTGCAGGAACATTCCCTCTCGGTATCGGTCGGATGCAGCTCTGAAGCAGTATTTCGTTAACCTCTTCAGCGAAGACGTGATTGAGCGAGCTTATGTCGTTCGTCACACAGGAGCGATTGGGATCTGTTCGGACTAAGTAGCAGCTTGCCCACGATGGAGTTTGCTGCTGCCCTTGGCCGTTTGTACCCCACGCACTACTTGTAGTGTTTGTGGAACTGCCTGCCCAGAATTTCATTGTGCGTTTAGGCACGGTGCTACTTGCAGTACCCGTTCCCTGCCTGCAGGACGCTTGACATACCAGGCCATCATGCGTGTGTTGCTTGCTGCTGCCTGTCGGACACGCTGCGATTCGGCCGCAGACCAAAGACTCTGCGCTCCAGGTGGCGGCACTGAAGCAAGCTCGCCTTGACTTGCTCCATGCGAAACAGCACTGGGAGGCACGCTGAGAAGGTCACGAAGGTAAATTCCTGTCATTTCTGCAGCTCTTCTGCTGCAGAGGAAGCTGGGCGGCCGGATCGGGCTTCTTCCGAGAGTCTTCGGTTGGAGCACTGCGAGAAGTGCCGAGGTTAGAATTTTTACAGTATGGTGTCCATGTCAAGCTGAAGCAATTAAATGTGGTGGCCGCATTTGCGGGGTTGATGTTTTTTGCTTAACGATTTGCACTTTAATGCGGTTTGTTTGGCCCGGCTGTACTACTGTATTACTACTGTACTACTGTATAGTACCAGGCCTCGGACTCAGTTGATTGTGGAGGGGAGTGTAGGTTGGAGGAAAAAGTCTGCAACATGAAAGGGTTTTGGTCTGGCAGTTATATTGGAGTGATCGGGGCTTGGTTTCGAGCTTTTGTGGATCCCCAAACCCCCCGACCCGGGCATTCGCGGAGCACGGCAGACGCTCCACCCAAGCCCCCCCAAAGCCCTCGGACGCCGCAAAACCGTTGTAAGTTAGTTAATTAATCAGGCCCACCCAGACCCCAAGCCAACCCGAGCCCCCGAATCGACCGAACCAAAGTCAAAAGGTCACGGGTAGCATACTAAACAAGCCGGGGACGAATGGTGGAGGGGGGGGGGGGTGCACTAAAGCAGCCACCACATTGCTTGACACATGCATGGAGTGCCGCTTGAATCGAAGCCAGCCCAAGTCGGTCAAGTTTCGTCTCGTCAGCATGGAAAGCTCTTACATGTAGCAATCCTCCTGAGGCGTGAGCAGACACTGACGCAGGAGGTCGCGCAGGCGCAAGCAAGGCTGGACGAGGGAGTTGCACGAGGACCCATGGCCATGACTTGCATGCCAAATAAAACCAGTTGTTCTGTGCTTTACTTCCTCAGCGCGGTGGGAAGATGCAACAACGTAGGTGGGGATAACCACGCGCCCATATATACATATATACATACATATCTATCTATCTATCTATCTATCTAGCTAGCTAGCTAGCTAGCTAGCTAGCTAGCTAGCTAGCTATCTATCTCTCTCTCTCTCTATACATATATATATATATGGACGGTAGCCCCACCCAGGACCAGTTGCGGATGGAAGCCGACAACCCTGCAAATACCGACGGACTCTGTGTCGGCTATTGTGGGAACATATAGCTTGCCTTGTTCGAAAACAGCAAAGGATGTATATGCACCGATACCAGCGTGGTTAACCTTGCGAATTGAAGCTAGTTGGCGAACGACATGGAAAATCTTATTGTGATGCTCTCGTGAGCTGCGCAAGGGCCGGAAGACCGCAAGAAGCCGCGACTAGGGAACAGACAAGAAAGCGAAAATCGCAAGCAAACAGCGACGCGATTCAAGCCAATATTCAAAATTCTGGGTCTCTCTGACCACGCGGTGCCGAATCTATGTGTTTTGGGAATCGGTCTTTTTGGCAGTTTCTGTCAAATGTGTTTGCTTTTTGTTTTGATGTGTTGGGTTTGATTGTTGGAATTCTTACATGCGGTGCGGGATTTTCTGCGTTTCTTCTCTGCTTATCAGGCCTGACACTGTTTAGAGATATCGGAAGCGTGCGTTTTCTGCAACACGTGCACTTGTCCGCAGCTTGTGGGTCTGTAGATGCCCAGAAAATCCCAGAACGAGAAAACGCTAGTGAGAGTGCCCTTTAAACCTCTGTTTGTATTAATGTCTCTGTGTGTATCTGCATAGTCATATACATGTCAAACAAAACGTATCCATTGAAGGGTTGTCAAGGCAGGCCGTCCTGAAGAAACTGAGGGAAACCCTGCTCCCCAGGAGATCCTGTGGTATGTTCTTCCACTGGCTTTGTAACCTTTACCAACGAGCTTTCGCAGCGGCTTGCTTCTCGGGACAGCTTCTGCGCCATCAACGTTTGCCTTTTGATTTCTGCCAGTTGCGCCATGCGCCTGTCAGGAGCAGTATACACGAGATGTTACCGACTTCAGCATGACAACAGCTCCCGATCCCAATGATCTGATGCATGGCTACATGTCTCGGTCGTAGTGTGACCAGGTCTTGTTACTTGTCTTCTGCAAAAATTCGTGGTCTTACCACCCGAGGATATATGCCAATCTTGCAGACTCCATGGCACCGATTGGTAGAACTTTTTTTGGATGCAAAGAAAGTTTTAGCCGCTTATCCAAGGCAACCTCATTCGAAATTTGAAGCCTTCAGGATTTCTCCCACATGTTTGAACTTCCGGACCTTGTGTCGAGGGGCAGGATGTAGCGAAGCTTTGTCCCGAAGTTGAGGGAAAGCTGTAAACAACACCTAGTACGTGGCTAAACCTAGCTAGCACGCCAGAGGATGTGCCTCATGTGCCGGCGTATGATGTAACAGTTAACAGAAAAAGCGGCTTGTGAGATTGAGCGGTTGTTGGTGGCCACGTTAGTGGACCGCTTGCGCTGGAGGAAGAAGAGATGAATTCTGCTGGGTGGAATTGGGCCGGCTTGGCCGCTATATGGGGAGTCCTCGACCTAGCAGATTCCGTTCTGACCTCTACACTGAAAGGCCTCGCCCCACAATGTAGAAGATCGATCTGCTTGGAGGTCTTTACGCTTTGGGTGCCCTTCGTGGTTCTTATATCGAGCACGGTGCTCGGACCACAGTTGGGGCTGAGATATTCAGGGCCCCAGAGCCGCGCATGGACTAGACTTGCGCCTTTGTCTCAGTGTGCAAAGAGGTTGGACCACCTTCGGTGCCGTGCAAGAGATGCTTCCGAGTTTGAAGGACCGCCGAACAAAATCTCGGAGTACACATGCTGACATGGCCAGCTGCAATCAAAAGCTCTAAATTCGGCCAAGAGATACATCGAGGCGTTGGGTCCGGGGCACGTGCAAAGAATTCTTGGTGTATCACGTTGTCGTTGGTTTGCACGCATTCGCATTGGCGGAATGCGAAAGTACAGCATGAGGCCGGCGTTGCTTCTTGGAGGGCTCGGTCCTTTGAGGGTGGCCTAGCCGAAAAGCCTCGCAACCATACCGCACTGCAAAGCTATCAAACGGCTGGCAGACTCTAGCCGTAGCCCCTGTAAATTCGGAAGACCCGAAGCCATCCAAAACCTTGAGTCCTGAACGTTACAAAGTCGTGCCCAACGTCCCGAGCACTTTCAGGAGGTTGTGAAGCGGCACATGTGGCTGGAATCTCAATCGCATCAAAGAGGCCTTGAGAAGGTTAGGCCAGACTTTGCTGCAGCTCGCATGTGGTGGCCTACACCACTAGTCACTCCCTGGTAGTAGCAAAGAAGCAAAGAGCAATTATCAGCGTCTGATTTCGGATTTCAAGATCGATGGTCTTTGGGACCGGCTCTGTTGGGCTGGGGATGGGGTCGATGAACGGCTCATCACCGCACTAAGAAGTAATGAGCGAATGGCGAGAGTCGAATGAGTGGCTAGCACACAGCTCGCGGCAGGCGGCTTCTGTTGCCTTAGAGCAGGCCGCCTAGCCTTCTCCATTAGCCCTCAAACGCACAACTCAGCCCTAGACCCCACCTTGCAGTAATTACTCCGACGTATGACTGTATCACTCCTGCCATCTCCTGCCTGTGGTGACCACGAATGCGACTAGTTACTAGTTCCCACATGTTCCCACTCCTCCCGACTTAGGCTAGTAATACAGTTCTGGCTGTCCCTGAATAATTACTTTGGCTTTGTTGCAAGTACGAGCACAGGGCGCTTCTGAGTTAAGGCAGTTAAAGGGAAGAAACTATTCACGGCAAGAAATTAGAACACACACCCGAGCTGATGTTTACTTTCCGGGTTTCTGCACAAGGACAAGCTGCTGACAGGAGTCTTTGCGACTATTGCACTGAAGGCGCGGCTGCAGCGTACGCCTGCGAATCCGGGATTACGAGATCCTGCCTGCTCCAAGGTGTTTCTTGCTTTTTTGCCATCTGCAATGTACGTCATCATCCGAACCGTGATGAGCGTGAAGTCGGGCACGGAGGCATCGATTTAAAATTGGTTCCTCCTCGATCCCTCAGCGTTTGTAAAGAGTCAATTGCCCTGAATGTTGAAGAATGCCAATTCGAAGGTGCAGATCAAGATGCAGAATTTTGGATGCAAAGAGCTAGCGTCCATCAGACTTCCAAAGTGACATAAAGTCAGTAAGCTTCGAAAGCTCTGTGAAACTCTATTCCGGAATTCTGTTTGGCTACTGCACCAAATCCAAAGCATGTGTCGACGCACACATGCCGACCTCTTACCACAAAGCTCCTCCCGTTTCCCCCGAAGACAGGAAAATCACAAACAAGAGCAGAGACGGACAAGCAGACAGGCAGACATACACATACACCAAACGTCTCCGAAGCAGTAGTGCAAACAAGTTCAGGATACACGCACACACTGAAACGCCCTGTCTGCAGCTGGGTAGCGTCGTGAAAGCAACAGGGCGTAGAGGGAGTGGCTTTTACAGAAAGGTAAGGTGTACGATGGAGTGCATCTTTTTCGGCACCTGTTGGCATGGAAGCATGGATGCCCTGGCAGGCCGGTCTAGTCCAATGTGCCAGGATGGATGCACTGACACATGAGGTGTGGCAAGCTGAAAGCTTAGGGATGATCCGGCTGTTAAGCCAAGGAAATGGTACGGTCTCTTCCTCGTATCTCGGGTGCATGCGAGTAGTTGGCGGAGCGTGCTTGCTGGCCATCTTTGTATATCACATTCGCTATCTGGCCTGTGAATGCTCTTTTGGTGTAGATGAGGTCACGTTTGTGCTGCACCTCGGCCATACTTCATGTATTTAGGACGGCGGGCACGAAAGTCCAGGCAGGAAATCCATGAAGGGGAGATGCGATGGTGGAAGGGGGGGGAGCAGAGCTTGGTACGGCTTCGAGGTCAAAAGCACGTTCTTGCTTTCGTTGGTGGCGCATGATTCCGACGCAGTGTCTGAGGATTCCAGTATCGGAGATTAATGGGCGGTTGAGTGTCGCTTTGGACAGGTGTGGTCGATGCGCAGGCTTTATGAGTCGGGGGTCAGAGCTTTGTTTTCTGAGTGGTCAAGGGCCTTGCATGTGGGTTGGAAATTCAGTTTAAGCAGATGCAACGGCGAACGCATGTAGCTGCAGCATGCTGCGGCCCCAACCAAATGCCACATTCAACCACCGACGTAATGACCTTTTACCACAAGCAGAGGGTTCGGTTTTCGCTGTGATCTTGGCTCGGCTAGTTGTTGTTTTCTGTTCGCTGAGTCTGTGCATGCTTGTGCTGCTTCATGCGCATGCGCTCGTGAAGCTTCGGTTGTGCTGCTGCGGAAAGAACAGAAGATGGGCTGATCCTCTGTCCAGGTCCCTGACGCTCTGGGCAGACATGCCATTAAAGGGCACTTTCCGCACCTGCTCGTGTAGATTGTCCTTATGGTTCCAATCCTTGTTGCAAACATCCAGAGATGCTAGCGAGTCCTTGGGCCGAAACGGCGCCGAACTTGGGAATTTGTAAGTGTTGGGAAAACAGATTCAGAGTAAGTCTCACTCTCACTCCAACGAACAATGGTTCAAAAGTGGTGGCATGAACGAACAAAGCTCGAGCACAAATTTTGCGTTCTGACTTGCTGCTCCTTGACAAATTTTAACAGCCATCTTGGACGACTTTCGTTTTATGCAAAATTGCCCTGTGCAAAACGAATCCACATCAATGGTGCTTGGCTGCCCCCTTCGGCCATTGCATGCCATTGCTTTGCTACTGGTGGCGAAAAATACTCTGAGTGGGTCAGCACGGCCAACCTTGTAAGACTATTTGCAGCAGCAGCGAACGGGGCCATGTTTGTTGTCCCGAAGTTGGCAGCTTGTTCAACAACCGGCACGCTGGTGTTCAATAACTAATCACCAAGCTATTCGTCCGGGACTTGTGGTCAGTTGCTGTAACAGCGGCTTCGGTAACCGACCCCAACATCTGCTGACCTTTGAATGTTCCAGATGGGGGTGCGTGTCAATTTCAAGGCTGGTCACTTCCCTCAGCCGCGGCGTGACCCTGACTCTGGCAGCCGACTCAGAACCTTGTCCAGACGCAAATTCGCTTGTGACGTCCCGCGGATCGCCACACTGAAGGTTAGCGTTGCGCAGAAGCCGGGACGTATCTTCCGTATCCTCGCGGATTTCCTGCCATCAGCTAGGAGCCCAGGAACCACTTTCGTACTGCGATGCCGGCACCAAACGGATCCAAAATGGAAGCGATTCTGCTTGAGGGCAGTGTCTGAACGATCCAGCCCAACTCTTTAACAGACATCTCCCCATGCTGACCTGCAAAGAATCAGGCTAGAAAAGCGTTGGACCGGCAATTCCTTGAAACGACCACTGATGTGGATACGACTCAAAACGCAGCCAAGGCTTCCCATTTCTACTTCAACTACATGGTCCTCGGATGGATCGTTTCCGACCTCAGTTTTTTGGATCCGGCGTGTCTCGACTTGCAGCTCTTTGTTGACGTTAACGCTCCTGGCTCGGCTCGCAGGTGCCATTTATGGAGCTGGTCAGAAATGCGAACTTCTGGAAGCCACTCACACGAGCTGGAAATTAGCGGAAATCCAATTACAGGTTTGCTCATAGGCCGGCGAGGTGTCGAGCGTCACCGTGTGTATGAGCCTGTTCGGCTACCGCCAGCAGCCAGCAAGCAGGCGAGTCGCTTGCAGCCCTTTCCTCCGCTTCAGGTTCCATTTTTGCAAATTATTCCTATCAATGTCGGAGAAGGCTTGGAGGCATGAGCGTCAGGTTGGTAAAGATCACGTGGGCAACCATGGCATTAAGGCGTAAGATGGCGTAAGCTGTATGTCAGGAGGCGAAGGAGTACAGCGAACCTGAAGATCCAGCCAGCTATGGACCGTGAGCAGACTACGAACGCATGCCATTTTCAGGAAGTCTCTCTGTGATGCCATTTGCAGGACTTGGAGCTCGCATGGCCTCGTCACTTCTCATCTCTGCAATCACGTTTGCGTTGCCCGGCCGCAGCACTAGCAGAAATTCGCGAGCCTTAGAAAATTGAATGCTGCACGAACCTGCAGGTTCTGTTCATGCTCCCCACTTATTCTGGTATTTTCATTCATATCCTTGAGCCTGTCGCACGCCAGCTACACATATCTCGACTCTTGGCTGGAGCAGAGCGCACAGAGCGCGAAGGGTGCGGATATCATGGGTGGAAGCGACAAACTGAAGAGGGAACGTTCTGATCCCAAGGTGGTGTATGCCGAGTCGAAAAAACCAGACACTGGTGGCGTCCTGTGGGTCCATGGCATAAGCTACCTGTTCTTGGCACTCCGGCTTTACACTTTACAGCTGATTCAGCCGACAGTCGCTGTTCCATTGCAGCTGGCATATCAAGTGCTGGCAGGTGATCCTGATGTACATACTGCTGATGACAGGAGTTCTGCAAATGCTCAGTTCGAGTGGCAAATGGCTGGGGCCACCTCTGGTCGCTCCTTGGCCTTGGCATGACTAGCGGCTTTCAGTCTCAAGCTTTCTGAGCTGCTTCAACCAAGATAGGATGGTCTCAGGCACTTGCGTCGACTGTTGCTCTTTATGCAGGTAAACATCGGGCCTGCCGGCTGCAGTAGCGGTAGTGCAGGCATCGGGACTCTGATTAAAGCTAGGTTTTCGGACCGGTTGTCTCAGCCTGATGCACGAAGAAAGAGGGAGTTGCCAAATCAAGGTGGACAGCTTGGCTTTTGATGTTCTCCCTCTGGAAGAGGTGGTCAGGACAAGCCAGGACTTGAGCAAGAAACTTTGCTGCACGATGAGGGTCGCCTCGCTGTAATAAGCCATAGTCGACGTCTAAAGTTAAAGTTGCCTATAACCTGTCATTCTGTTGGAGCATTTGTTCGTCTTTTCAATATGTGCAGCATGACAACAGGGCAGTTTCTCAGGAAGGCTGTGCGCGAACAGGGCCAGTACGTGCAACTTGGCCATGCTTCAGCAGAGGTCACTATGCAGACACAACTTGATCTAGTCTTTTAGGGTCGCTAGCGCGATAGCCGCCTCGCAGCCGGCCCTAGATTGTAGTTTCGGGACGGACGGGACCCAAGGTTGGGCGGGGGGGGGGTTCCGAACAGGGGGCGGGGGCCATAACGAGCCACAATGTACCAAGCGACTGAAAACGCGCCGGCCTCCGGCCTCGGTTGCGGGCTGGATACAGAGCATGGACGAGAGAAGGTGACCTGGTCGCAGAGACTGAAAGTCACACTCGCTTTCTCTGTATGAGGCAGCCAGAGTGCGACCTTAGTGCCGTCCAGGAGACCAAGTCCTGAGTCAGCAGTCACAGCCGATTGAGATGCCCGGCTGCTCAGATGTGAGAGCGATCCGTAGGGCCGAGCGGCACAAAAAGGAGCACTTGCATGCAATATTCTGTGAGATCAAGCGTGAAGAGGACCATGTCCCTCGTCTTTCCACCTAGATTTTCTCGTCATGGTCACGCTTGATCTGTCCGGGACTGTCATGGTTTTTGGGCTTGCCACAAAGGTGACAGTGCAACGGCAGCAGCCCGGTGCAGAGAATCAGAAGCGCCAGGTGCGCCCACACTCGCCTTATAGTTTTCTCATGCAAGACGGCCTATACAACGTCGACGCTGCCGTGTTTGCGACAGAACGCTTTGTCAAGGCCAGGCGTGCTCTCTTGCAGTTGACGACTGCTTCAACCTCAGTCTCTTGAAGTTGATTTCTTAGAAAACCCAAAGTTCCACATGTCGACAGTTTATCGGTAGGGTCATGTCACCATCATCTCAGGAGCTGACGCAGAGACTCTTGGGCCTTGGCTGTGGTGAGGCCTGGCAGGCACGCCATTGCAGTGCAGTCCAGGTGGCTGGTCTTTGGCAGCCCTTTGCTGTTCTGAGTCATGGCATGCCTCGAGCAAGCAACCGAATCACTGTGATCAGCATTTACGCATCACTTGTCCGCGTCAGTGTTACTCGCACGCCCTGGAGTGTTTTCACGATGCCTCCCGAACACTTCCCAGAAGACTTCGAACACTTTGTGAGAGAAATTTGTCGACATTGCCTACCAACTACAGGTCGGCAAGGATGGAAGCACAGGTACAATGATGGTGTAACTGTTCCAATCGACAAGGTAAACACAAAACTCCGAAGGTTCGAGAAGCCTTCGAACACGAATGTGCCTCAGAACCCACGAGAAAAGATCTTCACTACAGCCCCTTTAAGAAACAGTGACGATTCATGTGAAGTGTTTCTGTCAACAAGCTGTGTGAAGTTTGTGTGAAGATGATTGAGCCTAGAAGCCCAACACAGCCAACACGTTGTTAATCAAGGACGTCGTGAACACCGGTGTGCCGGTGGGCATGGGGCTGGGCGTGTGGGGGCATGCATGTGCGGACATGAAAACGCAGAATCAACGATGCTTAAAGGATGCCGGCTCGGCATCGGTGTCGTTTGTTCAAACATGTGGGAGACTATGTCACGCACCTACGTATGACTTTGAGCATCCATCAACCCTATACAGAAAGTGGTCGCCTGCTGAGACGAGGCTTCAAACGATCTTGTGTGGGCCATTCGCACGGAGTCAGAGGGGCAAGAACAATGGGACGAAGGAAGAGTGGCCATGGACCTCAGTTCATTGTGGGAGCCACTGGCATTGCTCGATGGCTGCTTGCCGGATTTGCTGAGGTGCAGATGCCAAAATCGATGCCTGACTGTCTGAGCTCAAGGCCTCTGCCGCCACCCAGGAATGTGCAGGGCTCGGCTTTGGAACGAGACTGAACAAGCAAATAGTTATACGATAATCATGCCCCGACTTGTTGCCAGAGTTTCGCAACCTGGAAGTCTCTCTAAATAATGCAGAGCTTAGTCAACTTCCGGTCGTTGGAGCTACCTACATTTACTTGTCCGCATATTTAGAAACAGTCACCGTAGAGTCTTTGCAAGAGGAATCCCAATCCTGTCCCGCATGTAACAAGACGAAGCAATCGGTTTTCTACAAGGCACTTGCAGCGGCTGTCGCTGGCGCCGGCTGCCGCCCAAGAAAGACTCGTTCCGTCATGGCGATTGTGACGCAAAGACCGCATTTAAGCTTTTTAACTGGCTTGACATTGAGGTGGAGGTGGCGAATCGGGTGAGGCGAATTCGGCCCCATGTGCTATTTGCGGTCCCGTTTTTGACACGGAAAGGCTGCACAGAACGAAGCTGGAGGCTGGAACCCCAGCAATACAGGTTGTAGGTCAAAGAGATTGCACTGAGTTGAAATTGGTCAGGTGAGGGTGGAGATGCGCTGGCAGCTGCAGAAGGCCCCTGATCCAAAATTTCCATTCCACTTCAGGAAGTTTCCAGGCATTTTTTTTTGCCAGCTGAGTTTTCCAGTTGCGGACCGAGGTGCGCCTCCTGAAGCGACAGAACCCGGCGAGGCTTTCGTGAGCCACGCCACACGGCGTAGTCTCGTTGCACATGTCTACCTGAAAATGAGGGTGCGTCTTTTTTTTTTGGAGGCAGAAGCACAATCAGACCCGCCGGCCTCGAAGGATTCCTCGTCGCAAGAGGCGCGCCCTGTAGCACAGAGAAAATAGCTGAATTCTGACGACTACCCTTATAAGTGTTTGGTAGAGCTGGATCGTCGCAATGTAACAGCCGCCAGCTCCGCTTCCTTCAGGGCTGCTACCTCATATCATGGAGAGATGGGCAGGCTCCAAGCTGGGTTGGGAGCCGAACTGCTTGGCTGTTCTAGATCCGATGCTTTGCCAGGCTTGTGGCTTGTCCTGTTCCAGTAAGGTTCATGCTCAGCATGTTTGGCGGATGGTTGCCGATGAAGATGTCCGAACCGCAGGAAGTTCAGTCTTGTTTGGCGGACGGCTTGAAGTGAAGCAGTAGGCAGTCCAGCAGCTTAGCTTTACTATCTTTGACTGCAGGCTGCCTGCGAGTCTAAGCGTGCAACCAGGTGTTGTCAGGCATTGGTTCGCTTGTCGGATAACCAACTGCATCAACAACGGAAATCGTTTGAAATCATCGCCAATAAGACAAGCCTCGCCAACCTTTCGATGCTTTCTAGGTTTTTTGTACCCTCCGCTATGCCCCGTTGAAAACGTGACGGTGGAGTACAACGACATGTTCAGCCTCTTTGAGTTTTGCTGTTAGCAGAGACCTTCGGCAGGCGTGTTCGGCGTCTCGAGTTTTGCTGATGTTAGCTATGAAGCTATGAAGCTATGGCATTCGTTTCTTTAACTTTTCGCCTTTCAAACGGCTGTTCGAGACGTTTGACGTTTCGCCTTTGGCGGGGCTTTTCTGCCTACCATGGCTTTTGAGGACTGTTGGACTGGTTAGGCTTTTCGTGTTTGGGCGGGATTTCCATCTGTTCGAATGAACGGCATTCCCCGCCAAAAGCAATTCTCAAACTTGGCAGTCACCCTGTACAGCTTTTCAGCGGCAGTATGCCGTCCACAAGTGTGAGAAGACCTTAAATTTCTTTGTTGCCGAGGTCATGATTGCGACTGCAGGCATGTTTCTCGAAGTCTCCAAGGGTGCGACCTGTGACACCTCCAGGCTGCAGGAGCCTCAGCAATCCGTCGATTCGCAATCAGCCAGGCTTGCGATGCTGCTAAATGTTAAACGTAGCATCAATTTTGGGAGGGGGGGAGAAATTAAGATATCAATAGCCGAGGTTTGCAGTAAAGCCAGCAAAGCCGAGCAGCTAGAAAGCTCATCCACGGCTGCCTTCTCCACAACTGCTTGCGAAATGTGTCCGGTGTTTGGTAGCGTGGCTTAGGAGCACTCTGACAACAACAGCACGCATAAAGAACAAGACTATGTTATGTTCAAAGTGCAGACGACCAGAGTCGACATAGTCGACTCCGCCGGTAAGGCAATTCAAGCACAAGATTTCCACAACAGCTATCAATGGGCTCCCACCTTTGAACTGGTGGGCCCCGAGGCGTCAGGCATTCTGCCCAACGCTTTTCAGGGTGCCGGCAGTACTCGCTGCCATACCATCATTTTAAACAATGGCAACCACTTCCAAGCACGCAATGCCGTCCCTTCCACTCCACGGGAAGGGAAAGGCAGGCAACTCCGGGACAAAACCCCAAAGCACAGATTTGCACCTGGCCCTTCCTATGCAAGCAAATTCATGGTCCAGGCCCCCAGCAGCATGCAAAACAAAACACGACTGTGTTCGCAGTGCGCATTTGGCCTCCGTTCTTCGGTCGTGTTCAGAAATGCAGACGACCAGGCAACTCAGGAAAAAGGTTTCCAACACAGACACGCAACAAAAACACACGGGCACTTGACAAGGCACACACTCGCACCCAGTTTCAATGCTTATAAACCAAATAAAGACAAAGGAACATAGATATACCAAATACAGACACATGAAAACAAGGACATGCAAATACAAACAATAAAAGAGAAGTGCGAAATCAAATAAAGGCATCATGGTTTCAGGCCCTCCATTGTCCATTGTTCATAAGCCTTTACGGGGTCTAAGCCCGGCCAATCTGAATCTGCGATAGGCCTGAAAGATGGTAGTAGGAGCAGGATGAGGAGGAGTTGAGTTGGCCGGCCTGGCGGCCAAGTGCCTAGTACTACTGCTACTCTTAATAATAATAATAATGCTACTACTACTACAGCAACAACTGCTACTACTGCTACTGCTACTACTGCTACTGCTACTCTTACTACTACTACTACTACTACTACTACTACTACTATTACTACCACTACTACTATTACTACTACTACTACTACTACTACTACTACCACCACCGCTACTACTACTGCTGCTACTACTACAACTACTACTACTACTACTACTAGTACTCGTACTAGTACTACTAGTGCGACTAGTGCAGTACTACTACCACTACTACTACTACTACTACTACTACTACTGCTACTACTACTACTACTACTACTACTGCCACTACTACTACTGCCACTACTACTACTGCCACTACTAGTACTGCCACTACTACTACTCCTGCCACTACTACTACTACTACTCCTCTTCCTACTCCTCTTACTACTCCCCTTACTACTACTCTTACTACTACTCTTACTACTACTCTTACTACTACTCTTACTACTACTCTTACTACTACTACTACTACTACTACTACTACTACTACTTTCCACAACAACAACATCAACAACAACAACAACAGAACGACTACTGCTGCTGCTACTGTTACTATTTTTCTGTAACAACTACTGCGACTACTACTCCTCCTCCCACTACGAGCTACAAGAACAAGCACAACTACAACAACTACTACTGCTACTACTGCTACTACTCCTACTCCTACTCCTACTCCTACTACTACTACTACTACTACTACTACTACTAGTATTCCTGCTACTGCTGCTGCTGCTTCTGCTACTACTACTACTACTTCTTCTGCTACTGCTATCGGTACTGCTACTTCTAGTACTATACTGCTGCTACTACTTCGACGACGGCGATAGACGACGACTACTACAACTACTGCTGTGTGCTTCCGCGGGCAAAAGCACGCTGACTTGCCGATCCAACATCCACCGGATGAAAAATCGCAGAGCTTTCGTTCTCCATGCCTTCGGCACTCAAGTTTAAGCAGGTTTGCCGCAATCTTGTTTCCAAGCCTAAGCAGGTCGAAACTGCTGCAGCAAGGCGCTGATCTCCAGGCAACCATGGAGTGCTGACATGTTACAGACCACTCACTTACATGGCCAATCCGATGACCTGCAGAAGTCGAAGAGGTCATGCGCTTTGGCAGGCGTTGAATGGTGAAGGGTGCACGGTGCTGCTCCTGGCCGTGCGAGCCGAGGCAACATCCCAATCGATGTTCTGCATGCGTCTTCGGTTCAATGATGTTCAAAGATTATGGGCACGGCTTTGGCGAGCTCCCCGACACCTAGCCCACTTAGCCAACAGTTTAATTAAATAGTCGAACCTGTCTTTTCGGAGCATGTTTCTAGAAGTGGTTGTGATGGCATTGACAAGGAGGTAGCGGTTTGAGCTGTGGTGTTTGGTTAGTTGTTGCTGTTCCTGACTTGTTCCTGCACCTATTCCATCAGCGTGGGCTGAGATGAATGTTAGGTTGATGCTCTTTGTTTGCATGGAGTTGTGTCGGGCGTGCCTCCATGCAGCCTTGAGGGCTGGACCTGGACGCCCCCAAGAAAGCAAGCCCAGCAATCTGCACCAAAGCAGATTTGGCTCTGTGAAAGCAGCTTATTCAAGGCTTATTCACCTGGGTCCCACCAGTCGCGCTTGCTGGACCGGCTGCTTGGAACAGGTGCCAGTGCAAGTCTTCAATGTGCCTGGCTCAGACACTGCTTGCAACATGCCGCTTGCACCTCCTAGGTCCGAGTTCTTGAGTCCTGGCCGTGCCCCGACACCCGATCAGCTTTGACCAATCAGCTGACATAATCTTTGACTCGAGCTCAGCCAAAGGTTCAAAGCGATGCGCCCCACTTAGCACGATAATCTTGCCGAGCTAGTTCTTGACTCTCCAGGCTTCGATTCATGGGCCTCACTGCACTAGTCCCGGATACATGTAAGGATGCCAGTGAGATGCACTTTGGTCCCTAAACTATAGGCAGGCCCTGATCTGCAGCAGGAGTTTGGGTGGAGGGCGCATGTGTGCAAGATTTTGCACTCCGGCCGTGCTTGCGGGATGGAGACTGCCTGGACATGAGGAACAACTTCACTGGCCGCAAGGCGAATGCCTCGCATGTACCTTGCTTGTTTTTCTCGCCGTGAAATGCGATCGCCCGAAGCCCCCCAGGTGAGCAATGGGTCAGGGCGTTTCTCTTGGAGAGGCTTCTCAAGAGTTCCTCGGACATGACTTCGGCTTTTGACTCTGTCGGCTATCGGCCAGGTTGGAGCATGCCATTGATCAGTCTGTCTCAGTGTATGGCCAAATATGGTAAGGCGCTACTTCCTCCAGAAAGTCAAACTCGGAGAGGGGTCCTTCGGGACAGTTTGGCGAGCTGTGGACAGGCAGACGCATAGGACGTGCTATGCAACTCGTGTAGTGATGCTGAAGTCGCGAGTCTGTTTCGAAGCAGTGTCCTTCGTGTGTTTTCTCTTTCCCTGGCAGTATCAGTATTTTTGCCTGTGTCGCTTTCAAATGATCAGGACTAGGCCATCTTTCTGGCATACAGCATCTTGTCCAATCGGACGAGTGTATTTATGATACCCTGTGCGGGTAGTTCTTGCAGGCAAGTGTTTCTTGATAAGAGGCTCGCTTCAATCTGCTCCTCCGCAAACATTCCTACCCGGCGCGGCCGAGCACGTGCTTAAAACTCGCTTGCGCAGGCAGGAAAACACCATCGTAGCTGTGAAGCAGCTCGACAAGGCAGGAGCTCGCCGTGCAAGTCTTCACAGATTACGCAAAGCTACTCTTGGCAGGCATTGCTGCCAAAGCGCGGCGTTCGCCGGCAAGATATTGAGCGAGAGGTGGCAGTGATGCGGGCAGCCTGGCTACACACTGTACATGGGTGGTGGAATGCACGTTTCTCCAGCAAGCATCTTGGGTTCTTTCCATTTACGGCTGTCTTGACGTGTCGAGTACTTGCAGTTGTTGTTTGTTGCTTTCTTTCTTTGTTCGATTGTCTGCCTGGCATGTATCGTTTACCTGTCTGTTTAAAGTGTATCTGTCTGCTTGTTTGTGGTTATGTATACCTGGCATGAATTCATGCACGTGTGCAGCTAGTTGTTGTTGCGTGCTTGTTTGCTGTTTGTTTGTTTGTTTCTTTCTTTCTTTCTTTCTTTCTTTCTTTGTGTGCCTGTCTGCGTGTATGCTTAGCCTGCTTGAGATTGCGTGTTTGTGTTGTTGGGTCTGCTTGCGTGAGCGCGGACTTCTGAATTCCTGACAAGCGCCCAATTGAGAAACAAGCACTGAGGAGGGGGGGAGTGCGCAATTAAAAAAAACTGGAGTGGCAGCCATGCAAGACACTTCACGGAACGGAGGTTCACATCATCGAAAAACAAAAGGTAAACGAGCGACAGATCACCAAAACGCAAGCTCGTGATTTTCTTTCTGGGGTTTCCAGGTAGAATGTGCAGTGTCTAATTATAGTAGTGTGTTTATTGGGTTTTTCAGTTTGCGGCTTGAACTCAGTGTTGAGCAGGGTGCGGGATGGAGGGGTTTGTTAAAGGCTCACTTCGCTGCAGAGTTTGAGAAAGTCTGCCCTGTGCGCGTCCTGAGGCCCCATGCTGGAAATTCTTCAATGAGCGTCTTCTTGTTATGTTTATTGTTGTTGGTGGTAGCGGTGGTGCTTTGTGTGTGTCTGTGTGTCTGTGTAGGTACTTACTTGAAACGACTTGTGTGTCAGGCCGTGTCCCATCCGAGCCAAGGCTGCATCAAGCAGCTAATGCCCTGACGGAAGGGTGGCAGCGTAGATATGTTGGATGGTAATCCAAGAATGCCTGCACAAGGAATGTTACAAAGCTGTTCGGCAGTTGGGAGGACTCTGCAAGCATCTTCTTGGCGTGCCTTTGGCTGAGCAGATTTGCCCACTGCATGTCGCCACCTGAACACCATGGCGAGAGTCGAGCGACAAAGTGATAGGGAATCCAAGGCTGGAGTATTGTGCCACGGCGAAATTCTGGGAGCAAGCACCTGCGTGCGGAAAGCAACCAAACGCCCATGTAATTGTTCATGTGACAACTGCAGGTAATGGTGGCGACTTTGGAGACAAGGCTTCTGACATGCCGAACGATTGAGCCCAATTCCGGTGTCTGAGTGTAGAATTATACTGTGTGAGTGTAGAATTATACACTCAGAATTTCCAGGTGAAAGAGAAGGGAATGGAACTCGAGGAAAGCACAGCTGCCGAATGGATGCCGCTGAGCTTTGAGAGTTTGGTTAAGGGACGCTATGCAGAGATACTTGGCCCGTAAGCTTCAGCCTCCATGTGCGAATGAATGCGCTGCTTAGGCTTGTCGGGTGGTAGGGACATTGCTGCAAGGTTCCAAATCGTCTCAGCTATTGGAGTCTTGCATAGCAAGAGTATCTGCCATAGAGATATCAAGCCGGACAACTTCATGGTGCATGACGAGGCCAGGAGGATTTCAGACGATACCGATGATTTCAGGATAGAGAAAGCCTTCGGTGGTGCTTTCCAAGTGTTGCCCCGCCAGGTCTTGAAGTTGTCAGATTTTGGCTTGGCAGTTCACCTTCCTTTTGGCCAGAAGCTGGTCGAGAAATGCGGCACTCCTGCGTTCATGTGTCTTGCCTTCGCATTTCACGGGCTGGGCATTTTATTCTAGCAGGGGCCAGGAAAGGAGAGACAGTTCGACCACTGCGTGAGAGCCCCATTCTCCAGGTCACCGGAGCAACACCAGCTGCCGAGAGGAAGCAGGGGCCACTCTCGCAGCAATTGCGGTCTGAGATATGGTCGGAAGAGAGGCGAGAGGTAGCGATATCTCACGATGAACCGGTCGTCACAGATCGCCCATGTTCGGCTAGCGGCTACAATCGGCTAAAGGCGTCGAAGTTGACCTCTGCGATAGTCGAATTTATCAGGACCAACTTCAACGGTATGGTGATCCTGTGTAACGAGCCGGGTTCGAGCACCAGGATCAGTCAAAAAACTACCGATGCAGGTACACAGCTGTCGCTCATGACAAGACGCACAGACCATTCGACTGTGGGCCCTTGTCCCTCTGTCGGATGTCAGCGTCTGCACAAACTCAACCCGTGCTCTTGTTATCTCTTCTTCCAGCGCTTTGGATCCTCGGCTGGGGCTGATTCTCCGGCAATTAGAATAGTCACTCGTTGCTTGGTCCAAATCTCGTCGCAGAAGTGAAAGCAAGACTTGCTTTTTCGGAATCCGTCGCATTTCAACAATGCGAAATCATGTCTGCGCTGCGAGCAGCACTTCAGACCAGCCCGAAGGATCCGCACCAAGCACGCACTAAGCACAGTAGCTTGCGTGCCATCTGAGGTTACAGTCATTCTTGCGACGTTTGGGCCGCCGGCATCACCATGAAGCTCGGCGATGGTTAGGTCTTGTGGAGGTGTTTTTGCACGTCAGTTCGGCAGCACAAAGGTACATGGTCATGTTCGCTGGCAAACATCCCTTCTTGCTGGCCAGCCACTTTTCTGAGATGTCACTGCTACGGATTGCCCATTACCCACATTCGCCCCGGACGACGATGCTGTAAGTTCGAGTGCAGTACTAGAACTGGCATCGAAGCAAGATTGTAGAGCAGCATGGGCAGCCTGTCGTGAACATACTGTGGTTTGCAAGCCCAACACAAGACCCCTCGACAAACGGCGGACAGCCGGCAGAAGGTGGGAACAAAGCCTTAGTCATAGTATGTCATAGTCATGTCAAGGAACCTGCCGCAGCAACGTAGTTGTTTGGGGAGGAAGACCTGGGCGGTGTGAAGGCATTGAATCTCCGATCGTTGGTCCATTTCTCGACCGTTCATCCCCGCACTTCAGCCTTGAAGGAGAAGCGGACGTTTGGTAGTGCGTCTGTGCAGCTCACAACTTCATGCATCATTGTGGATGTCCCTTCCCTATCAAGCACAGCCTCAGCAGTCTGTGGCGGTCTCCATTTTCATGTGTCTGTTCTGTCACCTGCAAGCGGCTTCTTGACCGATTGCAAGTCCTGCGGCCTGCGGTGCGAAAAGCTCAGGCCAGCAGCTGGATGAACAGGCCTTGCTTGCGGGCCAGCTGGATTTCAGCGTTGGCAGCAGCTTCTTTGGCTTTGCCATGTTGCTTGCCTGGCGCAGATGCTGCAAGTGAATGGGCTTGTGACAGTTCGCGGGGGCATCACGGGTAGACCCGTCCTCGTGCGCCTCATAAGGACTGATCGCTTCTCGGAATCCGCACGGTTCTTTTGCAGACAGAAGCTGAAGCTGAATTGGTGAGTGTGCAACATGTACTGTTGGAACACTGTAGTAGACATGTTCAGCCACGAACACGAGCGTTTGCGCGCTAGCAAATGGTAGAAAGAAAAACGGATGAACTACGAGAAGAGTTCGTGTAACTGGTTGGCTCTGCGATAGAGGGGGATGCCATGCAGACATGCTATTTATTCAGCTTGTAGACTTAGAAGTCCAGAACCGAAAAATGTTTCGCAGCTGTTTACTAGATGTCAAGTTGGTAGATCAGCCGAGGATGGTTACTCCTGACATGGGCAAACGGATTTCAGCTGCTGCCGCGTGCCACAGCGAGTGGTTCCGGGACGGGGGGCCTTAAACGGCTTAATTGATAGATCTAAAAAATGGTTCTCCCGACACCAGCTCTCGGCTCCTCCTGCACAAACAGGAGCAAGCTGTCGGAAAGTTTCGACATCCCCAGGACCTGGGTGGGGGCAAGGGCGTCAAGATTTAGGGCGAGACCTTGACAAACCCCAGCAAGTGTTGCTTTGTCGTGCCTGGCAGTTTGCACCTGTTTGCCGTGCGTGGGCTTTGCTACTGTACAGCTGTTGGAGGAAGCTGATCCAGTACCAAAGGAAGGAAGCCCTGTCATTTGCAGCTGGACAGATCAGAAAATTTCGGATTTGCTGGTTAGGCTCTGATTACTCTACTTACATGGCATCAGGCCCGAGGGCAGGGTGGTCAGATGTGGTCACTGTCATGCAGCGGCGCAGCTAGGGCTGGGGCCGAACGAGTCACGTCAGCCATCAGATAGCCAAGCGGCTGCATCCTGGGAGGTAAGCCGCCTGCAAGCCCAGGAATTGCCAGGCGCAAAGCAACGTATTCTGCATGGCTCTGGCCGACCAGGGCATGCATTGACGTAGTCTTGCAAAGACCGGATGTCATGCCCCTTGCATGTATCATTCAAGCACGTGCTATCATACGTCAGATATACTCCTTCACTGTCTCGCTCTCTCTGGACCTGTTTCTGTCGTTTTTGGCTGCTCCGCTCTGGATGTCTAGTCTAGGCTCACCTCGCCTTGCTGCTTCTCGGTGAGCTACCTTTTCTCAATGGCCTGTGTTCCAGGGTGCAATCGAATGTGACCGTCGATGGGGGAAAGGACAAGGAGGAGCACCTGTAGTAGTGGTCGGCAACAGCCAGTTCCCAAAGAAGGCATTTGTTGGCAGCTGGATGGGGAAGCGCACTGTCGTGCAGCGCGTCGTTTCTCAGGAGTCCACCCAGCGCTGGTGGCCATTCAGTGCAGAAACACCTTCGCAACCGTCCCGCGGATGAACTAGTAACTAGTTACTAGTTACACGGGCTTCGATGATTTTGCGAGCACTGCCGTAGGCATGCGTCTTTGGTCACGGAGTCACGGATGTTCAGCAAACAGGCTTATCGGGGCAATGTGCTAATCAAGACGAAGGCGAAGGTCCTCAGTGCTCAGTGTGAGCTGCTGTTGAGGTCGAAGCCGAAGGAACCGCTGGAGGAAGAGCATTTGGAGAAGCAAGAACTGCAGCAGGAATTGCTGCAGCACCGGCGAGCGCTTCAGGGACGGATGGGCTCTCCTCGAACTTCACAGTCCGACGACGAGCTTCGGAAGCGGAGCCTCGGCTAAAAGACCACAAAAGATACGAGTGGCATGCAAGATCACGGAGCGACTGCGGTTTCTTTGTGCATTCTTGCCATGCATGATGTGCGCACACGCAAATCATGATAATCATGCATCTCACCCGGTTTGGCTCCTGCTCATGTCGCTAAGGATTGAAGGGTTGGAGGAGCAGTTGAGGCGGAAGTGAAAGTCTGCATTCTCCGCTTCCCCCTTCCCACGTGCAGGCAACACGAGGAGCAGAGCCGCCTGCGGGAGGAGCAGAATCGCTTGCAGAAGGAGCAGAACGAGTCCCAGTGGGAGATGCTGGTGCAGCGACTTGGCACAATTGTGTTTGTCATGACTTAGGTGGGTGGGCATTGAGTGGGTGGGTGATGATGAAGGACTCGGACATCCTTGACCCCTCGCAGCGATGCGACCGAATCTGCGTAGATGCCAAAACAGTGAAAGAGCACCATGGAGACCATGACGACCGCGACCACTAGGACCACCATGACGACCACCCCATAACCAGAAGACGACAAGGGGACCACCAGGAAGTTCGAGGACACCACCAGGACATGCCAAGATGCTTGCTGTCAAGCAATGGCGGTATTCAGGAGCACGGCCACGATGCTTCTCCCCAAAGTATTAGCGGAATTCAGGAGCATGGCCAAAATGCACTAAGATACTTTCCTCGCAGTACTGGCGCGATTTGCGCGATTCAGGAGGACGACGGGCAGACTGCCTTGCTTGAAGTACTGTCAATGTATTGCAAGTTTTTGGGTGAGTCTGGCTCTCCGGGAGACGGCACGCGAGTGCAAAATATGCACTGTTTATAGTGGGAGATAGCGAGCAGCATTTTTCCGCAGCTCCCCCTCAACACTAACGCTAACCGATTCTTTGCACTTAACGTCGATTTCGCCGTTAGATCTCCATACGGAAGCAAGTGCATTTGTTGTTTGTTATCCTAGCAAGCACATGCAAGCACTCAGGATGCAGCAGTTTATCAAGGACAAGAAGATGACGCAGGACTTGGAGGCCACTTGTTGACGCAGTTGTTACTGGCATTTTGCACGTCTCTCGCGTGACTCCGGCCTCAAAGCTTCCCAAGCCGGAAATCGCACGTGGTCTAGCTCGGGAAAGCCTTCACAAACAGACCGAACGGCGTCCTGTTTGTGCGTGGATGAGAGTGGATGAGCGCCCAGAGCTGTTGTCGCCACCCTGGACCCTGGACAGAAGGGCGGCAGCGGGTGGGCAGTAGATTGTGAGTCTCGAAGAGTATGTGAAAGCTTGTAGCATGTTGTGGCAGTAGTACAGCACCCTTATTGCAGTTGACGTAGCATGTCGAGGTGGCGCTCGTCATGGTAGGGGAAAAGTAGAATACTGAGTGAGGCAACTATGGCCGGCAAGACGACGCCACCTGAGCCAGTGCAACCTGCTTCGCAGGCTGGCAAGGGAGCTGATTTTGGATGTTTGCATGAGGAGGTGTGTAGCAGAAATCTGTGCAATGCGCTGCACAGCTATCGTGATGAGGTGACTGGGGAGACAAGTCCCACTGGGCAGCCAACTTCCAGTCGGAGCTACTCCCGCAGGCCGGCACGCTCCGCTTGTGGACGAACTCAGCAATAGAAACATACAGAAACAGACGGAGCTTGTGAAAAGAGTGGGAATGATGGCTCACTTGATGCTGCGCCGTGTGAACCTCAACCAACTCCGAAAACGCGGAATACAGCTTCGGTCCTGCTGGGGCAGCAGGACGGTGAGCGCTACGGCAGCTCCACCTGAGATGCAGCAGATCCCGGCTGTGCAAACTTTGAGGGCAGGCATGCGCAGCTTGTTGGCAGATGAGAGATGATGACCTCGTGCTTTTCAGTCAGCTTCAGTGCCATACTCAGAACACCAGAATGTTTCTCTTGGCAACCTCAGGATGCCGGTATTACTCATCCACGTACGGCAGATGGATCAGCGCTAAAGTCGAGAAGTACCATCCCAATGGGACGCCATGTCCTCATTTGCCCTGGCGGGCCACCCTGAGGACTGTTTGGTAGGCTCACTGTGCGTATTGCAAGCCAGCATGGCCGCCGCATTGCACGTGGGCCTTGAATGAGTGTAAGGTTTGACCTGGATGTGAAGCAACATGCTTCCATCGATTACATCTCGCCGCTCCCAGATGTCGCAGAAGCAGAGGCACGCAGCCAGCAATGCTGACAGACAAGACAATTCGCTGCTGTGCAGACACCTGTAGAGACCGTTGGATTCGTTCGGCTACTGAACCTGTGGATTCGGCATTTGGCGGGAAGCATGTGAGATGGGCCTTTGTCTTCTGATTGTTGGGTGACGCGCCGCTGATGTTTTACTACGCATACATGTTGGCGTGCTTAGTCCCTGTTTCGGAGTGGTCCTCAGCCGACCGAGTGGAGGGAGTCATGCCGCGGGTGCCGGCGCGTCTCATGTCCATGCCTTCTTATAGAGGTATTCGGTACACTGCTGCCCCTCAATACTTTCATATATTTCAATTCCGAGAGAATAATCGCTTCCCTCTAACATTAAACCCCCCTAATAAAAAACCTCCCGGCCCCGGGATTTCGCGGTTTCGGGCCCACAATTCAAAGTTAATCAAAAACACTAGGGGGGGCCTAGGATTGACCAGAGCTTTGCGCAAAAAAGGAGGGCGTGGGGCTTAAGGTTTAGGGCTTAGAGGCTTAGGGCTCAAGGTTTAGGGCTTCAGGGTTTAGGGCTCAGGGCTTAGAGCTTAGGGCTCTAGGGCTTAGGGCTAACTGTCTGCTACAGCCGGAACGGCTTCGTGATGGACGCTCTTTGTATCAGGCTCAATCCGACTCATACCGGGTTTCCGAAACCCCCACAAATATGAAAGCCAAACCACCGGGACTCAGTTTTTATAATAGGGGGAGGGGGTGAGGGGGCGTTTCAATACTAGGGGGAAGGGATTATTGAACCAAGTTGGGAATGCTTGACATCGGCCGCAGTGGGGCTGTGGGGAACCACTGGGTCCCCTTGGGGCACAGGACAACCGCAGAGCACGGTCTTGCCAGATTTAAGTCGCTGTGCGAAGGCTGTGTTCCGCTAAAGCATACCAGAACGTACTGGTGCATGATTTCCTCTGTCGGATCAGGCCTGGCCACCTGGTACGAGCGTGAGCTACAACAGTACCTCTGCCAAGCGGTGGATTCCCGCTGTTGTCCAGTCGCCAGGCGCTCAGGAAGCCTTGCCTTCCCCGAATGCTGCGATGCAGGGCGGGACCTCCAGTGAATTTCACGATGCCATGCGGCGCCCCTGAAGCGTGCAGATGAGTATGTGAAAATCTACGGGACTCCATGGGTGTCGCATGTTGCAGCTGGTGTATGCTTTTGCGCTGTGCGCTCTAGTGTCATGCAGTGTCTACTGGCCGGGAGCCTTGAGCACTTGGAGAACCACAGTAAATCAATCCGAGTCCTTTTGAAGCTCCAGGTCAAAGCACCAACGTGGTCCCTCTCTCGCTCTCATGCGTTGGTGATTGGTGACCCTCTCCCTGTCTCTGTTTCTTCTGTTGGTCGGTCGTTTCCCTCGCTCACACTGGGCTCACTGCTCACTCTCTCATTGTTCGTCTTTCTTCATTTTCCATTGCCAGCTTGAACCACATTCTGAGGTTGTATGAAGTTGTCATGCCAGCACGGGCAATACAAGAACCGATTTGTCCGCGGATTGCGGAGGGACCACACAAATCTCTCAAGTATGCTACATGTTGGCTACGTTGCATGCGAGTAAAGCCATGCAAACCCTCAGCCCCTGAAGCCTTACAACACCTTCCAACTGTCGATGGCCGTTCTCGGAGGTTCAATGCCAGCGGTGCGAATGCAGCTTGGTTTCGGGTAAGGTGGAGGCACAGGTCAGATGTGCAGTTGCATCGCTGTTTGCATCCATCGGGCGAGGCAAGTACTCCATTGCTGGTGAGGTGCTGAAGACCCGGTAAGCTTTTCGTGTATGTGCGCATCTAAGGCTGGCACATACAATTTAGATGTGAGGCCCTGCGCAGACTGTGACCGGATCAAGCCTAAGTTATTAAAACATGAGGCCATGCCTGTTTAATCAGATTAGCTAGGTGCACTGGCGAGTGCCCACACCGGAACTGCAGTACCCAATATACTTTGTTCTTGAGATGAAATGAAACGGTCGGCTGTTCGACGCGAAGCAGGCCCTTTTTCAAGCTCGCAGTGTGGACACGAACCATTGTCGAACGTTGTTTCACCTGCGGCACCTTGTGCTGTGCCAATGCCGTCAGAGGCCTCCGGTACATCGCCTGGAGCCTTTGAAAAAGGTGTGTCACGGCGCCGCGATTTCATGTGCTGTCCAGCATCTCAACATTTTCGCCTAGGTGCTGCTGGAGCACGGGGCCTGTCCTGATGCTGCTGGCCGTGAGGGTGTCGGCACCTCGAGGCCAGCCTCCGGAGATGGGGCTTGTGAGTTTCACTGTCCAGGTCACCCCCTTGGAGCTCATCCTGCGCAAGCAGCGCGAAGACAGCGCAGACGGCGAGTGGCTGAGGCGGACTATCAATGTGAAGATTAAAGAGCCGAGGTGCTCGGACACTAATGCAACTCGATGCAATGCCGACGTTCAGAGACTCGTTTTGGGATGAGATGTTCTGCCCTGTCAGGCAGTCCGCCGAGGCAAGAAGAGCACGTGGTTGATTCATAGCTAATCTTACGTCCTGCGGACGTCACATCCGATTCGATGTCAAAGGCCTTGCGACAACACAGGGCGAAGCTGGAAGCATCGCAGGCCGGATGCACTGCGAGCTTCAGGGCTGTCTGTCTGGTCGTGCTACTTGCACATATGCAGCTCTCGCAGGAGGAGCACGCAGCTCGTGTCATTGATTTGTGCTGACCTGAGCCGACGACGCGATTCATGCGCCACTGAAGCAGGGAATAGCAGGGATGGTGGGGATGGTGGGGAGGGGCAGAGTCGAGAGTCAAGAGCGCATCTTCACCGTTTCTTGACGAGCCTGCAGAGAGTGTTGCCGGAAAGACACGGTTGCGTCGCAGATCAGGCAGAAAACATATGGAGTGAAGATGGTGCCGGCCTTACCCACAAGTCGAACGAGCATAGTACCTCTGAGTGTTTTGGAACGACCTGCTTCACAGTCATTTACAGTCTATATTGCAGTTTCGATGCGCTCGAAACGGACGTGCATCCTGCGCAGCAACAGCTGCATTCCCACAGTTCCATCTCCATTGAACAGCAAGTTCCGATGGTCTCCAAGCCGCTCGGAAGACGCAACGCACTTTATTGCAAGCACAGGAACCGCTCCAGGCTTTTGCTCCAATGCGGTACATGGCGCCAAAGATCTGACTCACGATTGCATGTCGAGGTCAGTGCCTTACTTACTCTTGCTTCGCCGCTGTCGCTGCCTGCGGAGATTTTGGAGGTGGGACAATGTGGGACATGATTTGCACACTGCTCTTGAATGCTCCGCATGTCAAAATAAGCGTCATGTGCCACATCGCTGACGAGGCCACAGCACCGTTCAAGAGGCATACGTTCTTGAGTGCTGCTTTGGATTTGGAGGTGCTTCACCTCCTCTTCCGGGAACTCCCCCTGGAGGTCGCCAATGCACGAGCTAGTGAGGTAGTGCATAGCAAGACTGGTTGCAAATGAAGGGTAAGCCGATGCACTCTGTGGGCCATCATGGACCAGCAAGCAACACCTCCTTTCTGTTCGTGCTCGGGCCACTCACTTCCGTGAAGTTGCCGCCTGTTTAGTGCTGGAAAGCATAGTTGACACCGATGCATGATAGGTGTTGCCGCTGGGTAAGAACTGCGGGTGCCAGCGAATCCTGCAAAGCAATCAGCGCACACACAAATGAGCAGAGATCTCAAATCGTCTCAGCACTGCCCCTTACAGCTGCTTCGCGGATGATGCTTATTTGGCCATTTGGCTGTATGTGTAGTGATAGTTCAGTTCTAGACCTTGAAGACCAGACGATGCCGGAGCTGCGTACCTGGAAGTTAAGTTCGCGTTTATCTTCTCCTGTGCTACACTGACCAACTCGGGTGATCAAAAGCGTCGACTGAAGTCGGCTTCCATTCTTAATGGCCTGCAGGCTTGTCTTGTGGGGGTTAACACGGGTTCAATCAGTATCTGGCGCCTCGTCTTCGAGTATGAAGCCAAACCTACCTGCCAACCATCAGGGGAGAGGATCTTACTGACTCAAAGGAAGGCGACTCTGAGTCGGTGAGTGGCTGTAAGCAATGTGCAGGTAAGCTGTAGAACGAGCACGATGAGCACGAAGCACCAGATGGTTCCTCTTGCCACCACAAGAGTTGCTGATCAGCATGCTCATGCGATGCTGCCACGCCACCGTTGCAGGTGGTGAGGGAAGCACTGGAGCCACAGGCAGTCAGCCCGCGCACATGCATCCTAGCTTTAGCACTTCACGTGTTCATGGACGTCAACGTTCTTGTGTCGGTTCTTTCTTGCTTGCATCACATGCTGGACCGTGCTGTCCAACATTGTTCACCCGTAGTGCTAAGTTCACTTTTTTGATGTGCAAGCTCTGCACTTGCAGCAGGAGCATCTGAGCCGGCTTAGGACTAGCTCACATGGGCAGGTTCGGGTACAGGTGCCGTTTTTTCGCAGTTTAGCATGAAAGGCATTCTGCGCCTTGACAACGCTGCTGCAGCATGTGGCCGGACACTTTGGACCGAGGAAGTGCTTTCGTTTCAGTAGTGCCAGTGGGGCACTCTGGCTGTCACGGCTCTACGACTCTACAACATGAAAAGCTATATGGGAGGTGTGTTGTATACAGTGACCGACCAGGGCTATTAAGGTTGTTTGCCGGTATACATCTCGTAGCCGATATCCACTCTCTGTCGTGTTGTTTTCGGAATTTCGCACGAATAAGCAAGAAGCTGAGCTGAGGGTTGTGGGTTGTGGGCCTGGTCTGTTCATGCCGCATTCTTGGGAGGCTCAAGCCTTGGCAGGCATGAGAGAGATGTCTTCGTGTTTGAAAGGGCCCGTGTAGCCATGGTCGGAAGGCAGGTCATGCAAACCTGGTGATACATTTTTTTCATTGGCTTCTCATCTGCTTGACAGGATACGCGACCAAGTCACTGGAGCCGTTCTGAGAGCATCTGGCAAGAAAGACAGCCGAAACGAAGACCGAGATGCGCCCCCTGGTTTCGAACAGGCATGCCACCTGTTCATTGCTGTTCGTTCTTCAATTTCAGCAGTTTGTGTTGTCCTTGCTTAAGCCGAGGAATCCGCTGAATGATTCCATTCCCGGTGAAATTGTCCGACGCAACGAATCTTGGCCAAAGCCATATTAAGCTTGTGCTCGTTCGTCAGTAGCAGTCAGTAGCACAGGCATCCATCAACCCAGTCTGCCGCTACTAAGGAAAAAGCTCATAAATCAGGACCCAGTGCGAAAGCTCTGGCAGAAACAGACTTGCAAGCTGTTCTGGCAAAAGGCTCCGGCACTCGAGAAAAGAACTTCGGCAGCAATTGCGCCGTGAATGACATGAATGACTATGCCATGTGGATTTTCTACAAATGCGACCGATGGATGGGTCCGGCAGATGCAAAAATGCAAATCGACCCGGGTCATATGAAGTGTTCGTCCCTTCTTCACTTTGCGAGCTGCGACAGTCGGATGTTGTCGAAGGGCTCCCCACCATGCATTTGCCATCCCGTCTCTGGTGTGCAGAAGTCTTAGACAGTGTTCTCATCCATCGTCACATTTCCACTCAGCCGAGGGGCCAAACCCGCCACCCAAGATTGCACACTCAGACCCTACACAAATCAACACATCTGCACCCAGTGTTCGGCCACCGGCCAAGCCCACCACACCCACGCCCTCCGAGTCCAAGTAATCCTTAGTCGAGTCAGTTTGCATGAAGTATGGCAACAGGAACCTGCCTACATCTCTGTTTCACTGTTCGGGCTGCTTTGGGTCTTCACATGCCCGCGCCTTCGCGAATTCAGCCGTGGCCTGGATCATCGGCATTCATCGGCACTAGGCTTTAAGATCTGGCTCCATCTGTGAACGCTTCACGGCCTGGACCTGAAGGTGGCTGAAGAAGGCCTTGCAGCAGGTGCAGGAGGGGGACCTGTCGGCTGCAGATGTCTACAACATCCTCAAGGCCACGCCTGGCCGCGTGCAGCTGCCTCTCTCCCAAAAACCGGTCACGTGACTGTGCAGGTGCCGGACTTCGCCTCGGACCTGAAAGATAAGACAGGAAAGAGCATGACCCATGGCAGTCAGAGCAATTCCGCCTCTTTTTTCTCCGACTTTTTCTTCCATGGGGCGGTGCTTTGTTGTTTGGATGCAGTCAAGGTACAAGTTTCTCATGTCTCGGATATCCGTGTTCTCAAAGGGGCCCGCTCGATGCAAGATGGAGTTGCTTGTGCAAGTCTTGCTTCGGGGCCTTTTGCAACCCTCGGCTTCTTGAGAATTCTCGTGTGTTGGCTTGAGGCAACAGCGATTCCTGCAAAAGGAATGCTCTTTGGCTCAGCAATTCGGTGGAGAAGGATTTCTGCCTGCTTCCAACCGAAGAAGCTGTTCTCGGAGACAACAGACTTTTGGATACACGCCTTGCTGTTAAAAGCTGTGCCAGGAGGTCAGGCCATGGGCAGTGACGAAGTCAAAATGTCCAATTCGGGCGAGCCAAACCCAGAGGCTGCGGAGCAGATGATGGCTTCTTGGCTGATTCTATTGTCAGTAAAATGTAACCCGATTCAATCCTTCTGTATCACTCATTGTCTGCATTCGGTGCTGGTGCTGCTTGCAGTCGAAAGCCAGCAAAATTGTTCTGGTCAGCGATGCTTCGATGGTCACCCGAGGCACGGGTGCGAGAATTCGTGCGGCAACAGCAGGGAGTGGAACTTGCTGCTTGGCGAGCTGTGTTCTCAAAGCAAGCCAAAAGCGCGAGGGCCAGGCAAGACAAACGCTTGAACCGCGGTGCAAGACCCCAGTCTGATGCTCCCGAGGACCAGGCAGTATCTGCCGTTCCGGAGCCTGTCGCGCCACCTGACGCCAACACTTGAGTTCAGGGGTGTAGTAAGCAGGCACAGATACGCCCAGCATTCAAGATTCGAGACAGATGGCGAAGTCAGTCTCGGGTTCTTTCCGTGTTGCGAGGGCGGGGAAGACTTACACAGATGAGCATGGATGGTTCTTGGCCGGGTGTCATGGATGCTTGTCGTGGTTGATGCTGCTTTGTGTTGCCAGGCCGCCAGCCCTTCCCAGGCAGGATACATCTGCAGTGGCGAGCATGATCGCCAGGACCCGGGCTTTCGGGAGGAAGATCTCATCTGTTGTCTTGTTCCACCTTACTCCCAAAGCCCCACTGTTCTGACCCGAGATGTGTCTTGGGTCAACAACTTGTCTTCAGAATCCGAAAGTGTGCAAAGCCTCTTTGCTACTGCAAGGGTTCGGGGATGTACAGTAAGAGCCTTGTACATGTTTTGAAGTGCTCGCAGCTGTTGTTTCTCAGTTTGCTGAGTGGTCACATTCAAACTCTGCAGGGCGGCTTCGACAGCGGTGCCTCAGCTTGAAACACTGCTGATTGCTTGCCACTGTGGCATCGAATGATAATTACTGCAACTCATGTTTCCAGAGCTCAGCCAGCTTCAGATCAAGCATTTGTCAGGTGAGCTACCAGGCGGCCAGGGCGGCCTGGCCGAACGAAGTGAGCGAGATGGCCCCGGACGCGCTGACGCAGGTGATGCAGACCTGAAGCCAAGCTGCTCTGCTTGGGAAGGGTGCTTGGGCTCAGTTCTGCCATTGCCCTGTAGGAAAAGGCACGGAACGAAAGCGAAGCTTCAAGTCCATCTCGAAAAGCCAAGAAGCGACTCGGATTCAGAAAGATCTTGCGCAAATTAAAAGGCGAAGCGACCCCGTGAGCCGAGGAGTAAACGTCCTTCCTCCAGCTCTCAAAGCTCGAGGCGTCGCCGAAAGGAATCGCGCTCGCGCTCCAGGCGAGTATGACTCCCCCCTCCAAACAGACTTCCCTCCTGCCGGCCTCAGAGCCAGCATGAATGGTGTTGTTTTCGGCTGGGCTTCTCGATGCTTCCGACTTGAGGGACACTTTGAAGAATTCCAAGGTTTCAACCCTATGCCTCCGTGTCTCCATACTCAAGGGTGGGGGGCTCTTGCTTTTCGTTCTGTAGCGTCACTCCGGTTCCTTTCCAAATCGTTTCAGGGAATCAGTAAGCCTCAGTATTCCGAGCTGCTCATTGGATGGAAGTGCCCAAGCATCCATTCACTGCTGCACAGAGAGCCAGCAGGTTATATCAGGTTTTTGCGTGCGCATCACAACTAGACGCGAAACCCTCAAGCCTATACCCGAAGCCATGCCTGCCTCGCGCGAGCGTGTGAGTCGAAACCTATGTGAAGCCTTTGCGATGGTCCACTGTTTTTCGGAATTACGCTGCAATGCGGGCTCGTCCTTGCTAAGTTGCTAGGTAGGAGGGAAAACACCCCACGACCTCAACAGCTTTAAGACCGGCAATCCTTATTGTCATTGTCTCTGCTACGAGGTTTGGTGGTTGCGGCGTGAAGGTTAACAGTTAATTAAGGTCCGTCTACAAGGATCGCTCTGACGTAAGATCCCCCCAGGTTCGGAAGCCGCATCCCTGAGAGTCCCATGCAGACACACATGAATCAGAGCACAAACAGGCAACCAAGACAAAGGAGTCCGACCACTAACCAGAGCACAAACAAGTGGGGGCGACAAGCTGGACCTGCAATAGATACGTGTGGTTCAGACAAGGAAAAGAACACCGTAGCTCGAGTCACAGGGTCCCGGCACCAAGCAACAGGCCTTTGTTTACGTTGCTGCACAGTATCAACTCATTAGCTCCGGCTTTGTTGAGTCGCTTGCAGGGGCCGGAGGAGACGATAGGGTGAGGCCTCCCATTGGGATGATAGCGCGCTCGCTGAGGAAAGACCAGATGTTGCCAGTTGTCAACCGCTAGGAAGATAGCCGTTGTGCACTGGCGCAGAAGAAGAGACTAAAGAGCACCTAGCAACAGACGGCATCATCACTGACATCTTGATTTGTTCTGCTGCTCGTCATTTAAGTTATCGTCACACAGGGCTCCACCGTGCATAGTGGAGCGCACTGCAAAGGCAGAGTTTGGAACAGAGGTCTGCCTCCAGAACAAAATTATGTCGTCGGCCGAACTTTGCAAAGAGACCGACCTCTATCTTATGGCATGGAAAGACCGAGCACATGATCCGGCGGGAAAAGAAGGCTGCAGCTGTCACCGAAGCCTCTACGCTCTCCGGGTCAGACCCTACATCCTTAGCCAGATGCCTTCGCAGATCCGCCAACTGAGATTATAAGGGACTACACGGAGCTGTCAGCTCATGCCTGGATGTGCAACCATTGCGCCGAAACCGTTGGTTTGACAGAAAGCAAAAATCTGCCCTTCACTGTCCTAAGGTCGGTGGCACTGACAACTTGAGTGTTGCCCTCCTCGGATGCCCAGGACTAAGTAAGCTGTTATTATCTATGCCACAGCAAACGCCGCTTACAGTCAACTTGTGCCTATTGCAGAAAAGCTGGCACGCCTGAATGCCAGCAGAGCCTTCTTGGAAGTAGGCCTTCGCAATGTCTCCGTTGCCAACGACCCATTTCTTCGGTACGGCCTGGTTAGTGACTGTTATGTACATCTAAAATCACTGGGATAGCAAGTGTAGATCCTGCCCGCATCTGGTCCGGCTGGATGTGCAGGCGATACACATGTCACTTGGCTACCGACTGCAAATGATACAGTAGTGTACGTACAATTTCAATCAAGAACAAAAGACACTGCCAGGAAGCACAGTATGATTGAATAGCCAGTCATGTTTTGGTGTCTCACTTCGATTATCTTACATATATACATATGTAAATAAACAAACACACAAACACGTAAGTATATAAATATGTATATATGTATATGTATATATATATATATATCACATGTGTGTAATTGCCCACTTTGAGCATCTTTTGGCATGCAGGGGCGCCTGTCACGCGGTGATGCAGCCCATGTTCCTTTTGCGTTCGTTTTGCTGAGGGAGCTGCGCGCGGCTGCCTGCACCCGTACGTACAGCTACTTCTTTCTGCTGCTTCCACAAGTGATGTAGTGGATGTATGTAGTTACTTGCAGCCTGGACTTGAGCCCGCTGTAGTCCTGGCTAGACCTTGCACAGTCGCCCCGACCACAACCCTAACATATGTGTATGTATATGTGTGTATATATACAATGTGTACTGTGACTACAATCGAACACTTTGGAATGAGCGGTGGTACGCCGAAATGTGTTGGGTTATAGTTCCAAACGTTGTTTTTCGATGGTGGACACGGTATAGACAGTTAGACTAGATGTAGACAAGCTGTGATCGTAACAACTTGTCACATAAGCGTACATGTAGATCTCCATGAAACGGTTGGGACATCTGAAGCAATGTCGACTTGCTGCCGCAATTGCCACATGTGTATTCATTTTCCCTTTACATAACTCTACAACTTCCCAATCTTTCAGACGACATTATCATCATGTTACGCTTGTTTTCTTATGCTCATGGGTGAGTGCGAGTCTGACTTGCTTATGCGCGTCTCCTTTGGAGCTTATGGTGCAAGGGCCAGGTGGGACGGCGGTGGGGACTGTGCCCATCATTGGGCTGGATGGGCTGCGTTTAGCCAGGCCTGACCTTTCTGTTTATGCTGGCCTGTATGCAAACCAGACTTTTTCTTTGCAACGCTTGAATAGGTGTTTGAAGCGCATCCTGACAAACACAACATAACGCAACTGTCGCCATGTTCCGGTCGATCTATCACCAGCATGATGTCACTCGCGCGATGCTTACATGTCAGGAGTGTTTGCAGAACGAAACTAGCATGGTTTTCGGCCAGCTGCGCTGGCAGCTGAGCCCGGACAGTCATAAACTCTATCAGCTGCAGAAAAAGCAGAAAAAACTAGTCATCATGCCTACGTATGTTCTCGAAGAGATCGCCTTGAGGAACAAAGCATATAAAACTAGCCTCCATAACAAAAACGTTCCTCCGTGTGTGAAAGTCGGTTTTGAACGTTTTCGGCATCTATTTTTGCGGTAAAGAGGCAGGAGCCCAAAATCAGGTTTTCCCAGTGCGAGTGTCAAAAGAATTGACACGTGCCAAAGCGTGCCCAGTACAATGTTAGTGAGTCGTTGAACCAGTATCGCTACAAATCGTAGCAGGCTCGTCCGAGTGTCAGAGTAAAAAAATCAGGTTTCGCAGGTTCCTGAGGACTTTTGGATTTTTGACATCAGAGCGTGGTTTTCAGGCCACAACCGTTCCCGAAACAGCATAAGCGCTTTCGAAAAGCCTGTGAGGGCCTGGGTTTGAACAGAATCTCTAAAATCAGGTTTTGCAGGTTCCATAGAGTTTTCAGCATTGCTAACATCAAAACCATGTTTGAGGGGTTTGGGCAGCTCGAAAGGATTTTCGGGAGTTGGCTTTCAGGGTCAAAACCTAGGTTTTGTTGAGCCACGGCAAAGGTAATTTTTCACTTCACGAAGGTTTATGGCACTTGTGAGGCCTTGGATTTTGCCTTGAAGGCCACCTGGCAGTGGGCCAGAAACCAAGGCCGAAACTGCGCGGGGCGCTCTCGAAAAGCTTGAAGGGGCCTATAGGTTTGACAGAAAATACAAAATCACGTTTGCCAGGTTCCATAAGGGTTTTCAGAAATCTGGGGATCGAAGCCATTTTCAGGGGCCCACACAGCTAGGATGGATTTTCGGAATTTGGTGTTGAGGGTGAAAACCTGGGTTTTGCCGAGCCACGGCAAATGCACTTGTTTATTTCTTGTAGGCTCACGGCCTTGTTGTTTTTGGCTTCTAATTTTGCCTTTCAGGCCACAGGGCATTGGGCCAAAAATCGTTCCTGAAACTGCACGGGGTGCTTTCGAAAAAGCTTGCACGGGTATAGGTTTTGACAGACTATCCAAAATCAGTTTTAATGCAGGTTCCATAGGGTTTCAAGACTGTGCGACATCACAACCGTTTTTGAGGGGTGCACACGGTGCACCCAGCTTTAATGGATTTTCTGGGTTTGGGTTTAGGGTAAAAACCTAGGTGTTGCAGAGCCATGCCAAAACACGAATCATTTGTGGATCTAGAGTGATTTTTGTTTCGCTCCTAAAATCACAGAAATCGTATTTTTTGCGAAAATCTACCTAGGCCGGCAGTAGTCAAAAAACACAAGAAAATTAGTGTTAAATTATTTTGGATTCCTCCTAGTGTTGTCAGGCAGTATTTTCAAGGTACTGTTGTACTGTGAATTCGGATCTGCCGTAAGATGCAGAGATTTCGACGCTGCCAAAGGTATCAATCGGAGACAAAATCTGAGTTCCTGGAAGCTATCATGATGTATGTTCATCCACAGTGTGGTGAGACTGGTGAGCTTGCAAGTCAAGACTGATCGGAATTTGCTGTGTTGAGGCTCAAGGCGTGTGAGAAAAAAGCGACCGTTGGCTTTCCTTTGAGTTCTTAATAAGGACAAGCCAGTTCCAGGAAACGGGAGGGGGTGCAATTGTGGCGCAGGGTGCAACAGGGGAGCATGACGAAAAGCCAGGTTCGCATAAGGGCAGAAACCGTTNNCATAAGAAAAAGCCGGGAGCATAAGTAAGGGGAGAAACCCACGGCATAAGAAACACCATGACCCATGAAGGACAGCTACGCAGGACAAGCTTGAGAACTCGATTGAATTCGGAAATCCCGACTGGAACATACGATAATCAGAAAGTTGACCCTGTCCACTTTACCAGCCTCCAGCCAAGGAAAAGTTGAAAGCGCCAATGCAGACGCAGAAACAATAATACACGCACGCAGATGCTCTCGAGAGTTTTGCCAGCTTCTCCCTTTGCCAATGTGTGTCATGCTTGCTTAAGCAACCCTTCGCAGGATCAGCCACCCAGAATTCTGGCAACCACCTTCCCACAGCACAGCGATTGCAAACGCTGCCTTCTAGACATGGTGGTTCGGGGCTTGCTGGATCTTTATCATGCGGCATTTTCCGCAGAAGGCCTACAGAAACCAAAGTTAGGGCAAACAGTCTCTGACATCATGGGCTCTCCGACAAGGTGATTCAGATCTTCAGTCTTTGATGTTTTTGTAGACTCCAACAAAAAAGTCACAAGCGGAGGCCCACGCATGGATAGTGGGAGTTGTTGCAGGTTTGCAGGTTTCGTGTATTTCTGTTGTGGTTTGTGACTTCCGCCGTCCTTTCGGCATGCAGTGTTTTTTGGCACGGGTGAGCTCAAGATATCGGTTGTGTGGCATCGTGTCAGTTCTCAGACTTCGACTTCGATTTGTGGAGCCTTGTTTGGCACACTGGGTTGGAGAGAATCCTTCTGTCTTTCTGTGAGCTTGCGGTACAACGGTACACCCACAGTGACACAAGAATGGCTCTGTCACCAAATCTCGAGGAAGTGGCATGACAGGCCGATGGTATGCATGAAATGTTTAGGGAAAGCCCTGCTGTCAAAATGGATTGAAGTACTGTCGCGACACTGCTGTTACGACAGCCCCAGACGCATTGCGCCCAAATTGTGTTTACGTCTCTCGCTCTCTCCCTCCCTCCCTCCCTC